ATTTTTCTTTCAAAAATACCCCCCGAACCCAATTTTTCACCCATTTTTTCCAAAATTATTTTTAATTTAATCCTTAATAAATTTTACCTCATTTTTTCATTAAAATAAAATAAAATAAATTAAGTTAAATAAATAATTATTTACATTTATTAATAAAAAATTAAAAAAAAAGGTTTTGATGGGATTTACAACTCTCTTCTCCTTAAAAGAAATTTGGTCTCTCAAATTTGTCTCTCACCCTCAATCGAATAGCTGGGGATACTGGACTCTAAAGTCTGATTCTAGCTCCCATATAACCTCCCTCGGTGTGTGGTTCTGCCATATGACCTTTACAAAGAAAATTTTCTAGTTGCGGAGTAATCTACTCTTTCGATCCATAATGTCGACTGATACTTCCTCGTATGATAGATCGTCTTGGAGTGGAAGAGGCTCGTGGGCCAAGACATAAGAGGGGTCCGGGTTGTACTTGCGTAGTATAGACACATGAAACACATTGTGAACCTTGAAAAGTTCTGGAGGCAGTGCTAGTCTATAGGTGGCAGTACCAATTCTGTCTAAGACTTCAAATGGTCCAATAAATCAGGGGATTAGTTTTTCCCTCATGCCGAACCTACTGATTCCCTTTAAAATAGTGACCTTAAGGAACACCCGATTACCTTTCTCAAATTCTAAATCTCTCATCCGGGTGTCCGCATAACTCTTATGCCTACTCTGAGCCGTCTGAATGTTATTCCTGATCTAACTATTTTAGATGTAGTCTCCTCTACCAGATCTGGACCGAACAATTTTCTATCGCCCACTTCTTCCTAATAAATCGGTGATTTGCATGGGCGCCCATATAACGCCTCATACGGAGCTATGCCAATACTCGTTTAGTAGCTGTTGTTGTAGACGAACTCTATCAGGGGTAGATGGTCATCCCAATGGCCCCCGGAGTCAAGCACACGAGTTTGGAGCATATCCTCAAGTGTGTGAATTATCCTTTCTGATTATCCATCAGTTTGAGGGTGGAATGCAATACTGAGGGATAGTTTCGTTCCCATGGCTTGCTGAAAGCTATTCCAAAATTGAGAAGTGAACCTAGGGTCCCTGTCGGACACTACTGTCATTGACACTCCATGCAATCTGACTATTTTTCGAATATACATTCTTGCTAACTTGTCTAAGGGATCGGTCATCCTGATGACCAAGAAGTGGGAAGACTTGGTAAGCTGGTCAATAATTACCCATATGGCATTATGTCTTGAGCATGACTTAGGTAATCCTGTCACGAAGTCCATGGTGATATGTTTCCACTTCCATTCCGGGATCGGTAATAGCTGAAGTAACCCGCCTGGGTGTTGATGCTCTGTCTTGACCTACTAACATACCAAACATTTAGAAACAAAGTCAGCTATATCTCTTTTCATCCCGTTCAACTAAAATCAGGGTCGCATATTTTGGTACATGTTAGTGCTTTTAGGATACATGACAAACTTTGAGATATGGGCCTCTGTCATAATGTCTCTCTTTAACTCACTGTCACCTATAACACACACTCTATCCTGAAATCTGAGCAACCCATCGGCGGAGACTCAAAATTCTAAGCTAACTCTCTATTCTGCATCTTTCTTGAGAGCTACTAGGGTAGAATCGGCGGACTGAGCTTCCCTTATTCTCTGAATTAACTCAGGCTGAATGGTCAGATGACTCAAACATGTGACTCTCCTCAAGTCCTGAAGCTGTACCTGTTGTGTGGCCCCAATCTGCCTGCATTCTGAAACCATTAAATTGGCTAATGTACTTGCACTTTTTTTGTTGAGTGCATTGGCTACCACGTTGCCCTTATCCGGGTGATATAAGATGTCACAATTATAGTCCTTAAAAAGTTCTATCCACCTTCTCTGACGCATGTTGAGATCCTTTTGAATGAATATGTGTTTTAAACTCTTGTG